CAATCGCCATCCATATGTAAAGGGAGCATCTCAGCTTGGTGTAAGTTCAACTCGCATTTATTTGGCCTAGAACCCTCCTTTTCTGATATATATAGTTTATCGTAGTGCTTCAATTTTCATTTATCCAATTGGTGCTTCGCGTAAATACTTTAAAAAAAATCTAAAAAAATCCTTAATTAAAATATATTGACGAATCATCATTATATATTAATCTGAAATCTCATCTAACTCTGTATCGAGTGTATCTAATGCTCAGCTATTTCATTATTTTAAGTTCCACTTTTGTATTATCTGCAAATACTTTTCAAAATTTCCATTTCGAAACTTTTGTAATGTAAATCAACAATTTTGTAGTCTGCTCGAGAAGGTGCAGACGGAGAATCCCAATTGGAAGGATGCGGGCACCGCTTTTATAGCCTCCGTGACGCGCCTGCTGGAGCGCCTGTTGGACTATCGCAGCGTGATGCAGGGCGAGGAGAATCGAGACAAGCGCATGACCTGCACCGTCAATCTGCTCAACTTTTACAAAAACGAAATCAATCGCAAGGAGATGTATCTGAGGTGCGTTGCAAGTCAATACAAATCCGTCGATCAATCAGTCGATCAATCCTTTCTGATTCACAGATACATCTATAAGCTGCACAATCTGCATCTGCAGGCGGAGAACTACACGGAGGCTGGCTATACGCTGAAGCTGTACGCCTCGATGCTCAGCTGGGACCGGGAAACGCAAAGCTTTGCGCCCTTCGACAACAGCGGGCAGCCGGAATGGCAGCGCAAGGAGCGACTATACCACGAGGTAGATCTCAAGTCAGGGCAACTCAATTTGAGCTCAAAATATATCCCATCTCCTACAGATACTCAAGTACTTCGACAAGGGCAAGTGCTGGGAGAAGGGCATTCCGTTGTGCAAGGAGCTGGCGCAGCTGTATGAAACGCGTCGCTTCGACTACAACAAGCTGAGCGACATACTCATCCTGGAGGCGAAGTTCTTTCAGAATATATTGACACAGCTGCGCCCGGAGCCGGAATACTTTCGCGTCGGCTTCTATGGCATGGGCTTGCCGCTTTTCGTGCGGGTAAGCAACCAACTGGCCATAAGCAGCCACTGACCTGACCCGCCTCTAATCTCTTACAGAACAAGCAGTTCGTTTATCGCGGCTTGGAGTACGAGCGCATTGGAGCCTTTACGCAGCGCCTGCAAACGGAATTTCCCAGCGCACAGATTCTGGCCAACAACAGTCCGCCAGAGGCGTCGATATTGAATGCCCCCGAGCAGTATATTCAGATCAGCAATGTGCGCCCGTTGGGCGATGCTCAGGCGCTGAAGACGGCCATGGTGCCGGTGCCGGAGAAAATAGCTCGTTTCTATGAGGTGAACGATGTGACGCGCTTCATCTACGACCGGCCCATGTACAAGGGACCCATCGACAAGGACAACGAATTCAAGTCGCTCTGGATCGAGCGCACCACCCTGGACATTGCCAGTCCATTGCCGGGCATCCTGCGCTGGTTCGAGGTCAAGCAGAAGTCGGTGCAGGAGCTGACGCCGGTGGAGTATGCCTGCGAGATTATCAACAATGCTGGCAAGGAGCTGTCCGATCTAATTGTGCAATACAGACGCGATCCCAAGCGCAATATCAATCCCTTCTCAATGCGTCTGCAGGGCACCATCGATGCGAATGTCATGGGCGGCATCAGCAAGTATCAGGAGGCCTTCTTCTCGGAACAGTTTCTCAAGTCTCCGCAAGGCGCTGGCCAGCAGGCCAATGTGCAGCGTCTAAAAATTCTCATACTGGAGCAAATACAAATACTAGAGCAGGCTCTGGAGCTGCATGGCCAGCTGGCGCCCGCTGGCGTGCAGCCGCTGCACAATCGCCTGCTCGAGCGCTTTTCACAGCTGAAGCAAAGCCTCTCCGGCATGGGTCGTCTGAAGCGTCAGCCCTCCGAGAGCATTGTGAATACACCGCTGCCGCCGTTGCCCACCGAGCAGCGAGCAGTGGCGGCTGGAGCTGGCCAGCAGCAGCAGCCGAATGCGAACTATGTGTATGAGCTGGATGAGATCTATACGCGACCCGGCGACACGCTGCGCCCGGTCGAAACCATGAATTCCTATCAGACTCTCAGCAAAGAGAGCCTCAGCATAGCGTTGCCTGTCGGCGAGCAGGTCGATGCGCCGCCGGTGCCAAATCGTCCGCGCTCCCAGAACTTTGTCACGGCCATCAACGGCGGCAGCATCGATAGTCCGGAGGTGCCGCCCAAGCGCCAGCCCCTCAACACTTCATCCAATGCACCGCCTTTGCCGCCGCGTGGCATTACGCCGGACAAGCGCGCTTCCAATCCGATGATATTTTATGATTTCGGCGCTGGAAGCGCAGCAGATGCCGCTGCCAGGCGTCACTCGGCACAGCAGCAGCACGGCCAAAAGTACTCCGTGGTGGACATCAGTTTCGATGATCCCGAAGCGGATCAGCAGCCCCACTCGCTGCCCCACAATCTGCAGGAGGCCGGCAATCAGTTGAGCGTTTGCTTTGCGCCCAACGATTTTCGTGACTCCGGCATCTCCACGACCAGCTCGCGTGAGCTCAACCAGCTGAACAATCTAGGCGAGGAGTCAGCCAGCATATCCATGCATCGGGAGCACTGTCGCATCAGCTCCAATGGCAGCCTGGACGTGCATCTCCATGCCGGCGGGCTGAATATAACGCAGCGGGACAGTTCGACCAGTTCGTTTGATGTGGAGGACATACCCGTGCCGCCGCCGCCAATACCGCCCAAATCGCTGGGCGTGACGGCGACTAATGGACTAGGCCTGAACCTAACCAACGACGAGGCACACTCACCCAACACACACGCATCGCTCAATCATTCCATTAACAATCACAGTCATCACTCACACAACAATCAGCAGCAGCCGCAATCGAACGGCGACGGCGACGGCGACGGCTGCAGCTCGCCGCAGCATCAGCTGCTGGCCAACGGCCGTTCGCCGGCGCCTGTAGCTGTTGAGGCTGCAGTCAGTCATCCACACGATGGCGGCACTTTTTGAGTTACAATATGTCGCTGCCATCATCCACCCGATCAGCCGCATCAGCCACACAAGCCATCCTCGTCGACGTCGACGTCGGACAGCACGGAGTCGCAGACGGCCAGCGAGAGCAGCGACTCCAGCTGTTCCACGCAATCGTTGACGCCACCGCCGACGCCAGCAGCAGCAGAAACACCACCAACACCAATACCACCACCGCCACCACCACCGCCACCGCTATCGGCTTCAGCTACGTACAATCATTTCCATGCGACTCACAGTCTGCCCTATTGCCAGGATTGCCTGTCGTCGCCATCGCCCACGCCCACCATCATTACGGAGCAGGCCCAAATACATGCCACGCCCACAACGACAGCAGCACCGCACATCGAGCACTGCTCGTGTGGCTTGAGCTTCTCGGTGCAGGCCCATGCCAGCTCCAGCTATGGCTACCAACTGGAGCAGCAACAGCTCAGCTGTCAGCAACATCATCATCATCATCATCATCATCATCCGCATCATTATCAGCAACAGCAACAGCATCAGTCAACAGCTACCCATAGAGAGTGAGGATTAGTTTCTTATAACAAGTATTGTGTCGATATTAATTAATAATTTATTAATTAATATCAATTAATTTTAATTATAATTATTTGCTTTGGTGCCAAATGTTGTAAAAAAAAAATTCTAATTTAAATGCAATATTTACTAAATATCTCTCTCTATATATATATATATCAATTAGGATTATGTTACGAATGGGGAATTGTCGCTAAAGTTACTAAGATGCATGAATAAACTGAATAAACTAAATATAAATATATATATGTGTATATATATATATATTTATAAGTTAATAAAGTTGAACAAATTCTATCTTAATAGAAGCATATGAGAAATCAAAAAGAATTATACCAAAATATGAAACGCTAATCAAAATGGATCAAGCAAACTTTACACTCACACACAAATGACAAAATGTGCAATGCAGTCTTTACTTTAACAATAAACAATTTTACATTAAATATATTATATAAATATATATATATATGTATCTAAACTTTCATAGCTAACATGCATCCGTTTTCCAGTTTTATATATTTTTTATCAAAAAAAAAAAAATATATATATATATATAAAGCTAAGATATCAGCGCAAAATACTCATAATTTATTAAAAATACAAATGAAAACTAAACAACAAATAATTAATCAACTTTTAATAGCTGAGAAGCAAACTAGTCAACGACAGCTCGACAGCTGTGAACTATAAACTTTTTTGATATATATACATAAACCCTATATATATGCCCTATATATATGAAAAAAAAATAAAATATGAATTTATTAGAGATCAATAAAAAATATAAATAATTTACACATATACGCAAAGTTAAAATGAATTAAATAATTAGAGAAATAATAAATAGTAATAAGCAGGAATTGAAAAAATAATTTTCATTCAAAATACTTGAAAATTATATTTGTAATTTCCTTACATTATTCATTTAGCTTTAAGTGCACCTTAAAAATGTAGTGAAAACAAGTAAGAATATTCTAGTCGGGAGTGCTCGACTAGGCAATACCCTGAACCCTGCGCACAGCTGCTGTTTCAAGCATTCAACGTTTTGAAACCAGTTCAAATGAACTAGTTCAAACGAGCTAGTTGAAATGAACTAGTTCCAATGAACTAGTTCCAATGAACTAGTTCAAATGAACTAGATCAAATGTACAAGTTCAAATGAACTAGTTTAAATGCACTTATTCAAATGAACTAGTTCAAATGAATCAGTTCAGACATGAGAACATAGCAAACAATACATTGGCGTGTGTGTGCATATACACTTAAAATTAAGTTAAAGATCAACTCTCAAGATTTTTTTGTTTACGGCGTAGCTCGTCGTCCACGCCTCCTTCTGCCTGTTACATCCATTCAGGCTTACTCGAGTATATATTCATAATTTTTAGGCAACATTGAAAATTTCGGCATTAAGTTTTTCTAAACGGTTGTGATCCCTTCAATATAACGGGAAAACAGTATTAAAAGTCAATTTTATTGAGAAATAAAAAGGTTTTTTGGTAGCTTAACAAATAATATTGCACACAGCGTTTAGTGCACGAAGAGAAGCTGCTAAGCAGTTCCATTTGTCATTTCAATGAGTTCCTTGATCAGACGCCCATTGTATTCCTTGATATTTAAGGGATTTATGGACTGGACATATAGCATGTTGCGCACCGTGCCCTCATAGAATGTATTCATGCAGCGCAATTTAAAAATGTGAGATGAGAACTTAACATCAGAGAATATTTTCTGAGCTCTAGCCGGATCATTCTCCAGAGCTTCAACAATCTCCTGGGTTGTATGCTTAAGCAACTGTTCGCCAGTCTGGCCGAAGCAAATGGCTCGACGGTTAAAGGTGCAATCTCCAATGTGTATCTGCCAGATAAACAAATTGCAAAAAAAAAAACAATTATATAGAAATATAGAGAAAGGCACACAGAACTCACATCAACCTTTAGAAAATACTTGAAGTTAGGATATGCTGCATTGCAGCGTTCGCAGCGGTAATGACCATTGCCCTCATCCATGACCTTTTTGTTGCAATCCGCTTGTGGACACGCTTTGTAGAATGCATTATCCTGCTTGACAATGTACACAACCGCCTTGCACTGGAAGTAATCTGGCTTTTCGCCCGAACCCAGATTTCGAAGGTAAGCATCCTTCAAGGTCAGCCAATCAGTGCTGAAGCTGCCGCCGCCAGTACGCGCAGACACCATCGTGCTTATATTATTGCCACCCCCATTATCGAACCACTCGCGCAGTTTGTGGGCCTCAGGTGTATCCGGATTAATTTTAAGAATTGAACCACTGCCCACGTTAAGATTTTTGTGGCCCAAGTATTCTTTGATACGCGATCCCTTCACCAAGATAACCGACTTCACCTGTCCATCGAAATTGATAGCTTCATTATTCCAAAGTACTAGAACGATAGGATCATTGCTTGCATCCACCAACGTGAGTTCGCGTTTCTTTAACTCCTTGTTAGTCGTACGGGAAGTTACTGTCTGCAGTTCGCCCACTTCTTTGCAAATGCCAATTGTATCGACTGACTCATTATTCTCCATGTTTGTCACTTGTGAAAGAGGTATCAGATCGAATTTGATCTCGGGTACTCCTACATTGTCTTCGTCATCGCATAGCTGAACCATTGTCTCTCCGGTGAAACTCATCTCATAATCACTTTTCAGTGAATACTGCTTGTTGGCCAGCTTAAGGTGGCAGTTGGAGAAGAAGTAGACATTGTCCGCAACGATCAGATCATAGAATTTATCACACTGCTCCTTATAAGCAGTTACACGAATCTCCCCGGATTTGTCTTTAAGATTCATGCTAAAGTATCTGCCTCCGCGATACGGGTACTTGCGTGTCTTCCCGACAACGCGGGCCTTGATAAACCATTTTTTCTGAAATGGACTGAGACTGGCAATTGGAATGGTGAGTGCATTACACTTTGTTTTCAATGTTCTGTCATTACTGTTATAGTTATTGTTAGATTGTTTCCTTTCCTCGGGCCCACGTAGAACAGGTGCAGTTGAAGCGCTATTTGCTGTGTCTGCATTCTCGTAGGTAACGGGTTCACCAATTTTTGTTTGTACCTGATCTCCCGAGTTTAACGCAGTTAATTCGTTCAAAATTAGTCTAAAAATAATTGATTGATTGTTGCCGAACCCCTTCTTTCCCGCCATAGAGATTGTGTACTTATCCAGGCACACAATTGTGTTCTCGCTGAGCAGTCCGTAGTGATGCAGTTGATTCAACTGGATGTCCAACATGGCATAGCAGTGATACTCGCCATCGGATATAATCAACCGATATTGTTCCTCATCCGGTTTGGTGGGGTTCACTCTATCAATATTCAGAATCTGTACAACCGGATTTAATATATATTCGCCTTGCATGATTCGCTGTAAGATGAGTCAGATCACATATTGCACCAAAATTGTTAAGAGAATGTTTACCGTTATTGCACCTCTAGTAAGACTTTGAATCAACGTCATTATAAAATTTGACTAAAATGGGACTATACAAATAAAAAGTATTATATTGCGTGGTTAAATGGCGGTAATATACAATTTAATATCAGCTACGAAATTGCAACGCTGCGCGATCGTGGCTATCGATTTTTTCTTAGTCGCAGTATTATCGACAGTGAGACATAGTCTCTCCCATCACCAACTCCAGCTGCAATTGCAAAGAGTAATAGTTCCAATGACAACAATTAATGACCAGCTGACCACCACCTCGTCTGCCGCTGTCGGACTAGCAGCACCTGCAATTTACTAAAACTAATGCCAAGCATGTCTGCTATTTTTTAGTGAAAATATTATATTGAGTATACTCCTTGTGAGGAAGGTCTTTTTATATCATCCCCCAGCAGTTTTCCTATTTAATAGATACACAACAGTTTCCGTAGTTCAATAAAATATAGGCATTTTCACAATTAACATATAAATACATTTTATATCATATCAGGAATAACTTCAAAAACTGTTGATAATCCTTTAAAATAAAGACAAGCCTATAAATTTGTAGGGATTAAAAGTTTATGTAGTTCCATTAAATTTTTTCAATCATATGCGCTATATATAATATTTCAACTTAAGTAATTAGCTTAATGTTAGGCTGCGTGACGCGCGCTGCACGTTTCTAAGATCTAGTTGGCAGGTCCAATGCCCGTCATTTCCTTAAGCTCTTTGATGAGGTGCTTATTGTATTCCTTGTAGTTGATGGGACTCATGGATTGGACAGTCAGCTTGTTGCGCGTCATGTCGCCGTACATCTCATTCTTGCAGCGCAATTTGAAAATGTAGGATGAGAAATTAATATCAGAGAACATTTTCTCAGCGGTTGCCGGATCGTTCTCCAGAGCCTCGCCAACTTCCTGAGACGAGTGCTTGAGTAACTGTTCGCCGATCTCGCTGAAGCAGGTTACCCAACGGTTCGAAGTCCAATCTCCAATGCTCATCTGCATACACTCAATATTTAGAAGTGCGATTTTAAATATAAGTTAGTGTACATTGAACTTACATTAATAAGCAACCGGTACTTGAAGTTGGGAAATGCTGCATTGCAGCGTTCACAGCGGTAATGGCCATTGCCCTCATCCACGACCTTTTTGTTGCAATCCGCTTGGGGGCACGCTTTGTAGAAGGCATTTTCCTGCTTGACAATGTGAACAACTGCCTTGCACTGGAAGTAGTCTGGCTTGTCGCCCGAACCGAGATTTCGAATGCGAGCATCCTTCAAGGTCACCCAATCAGTGCTGAAGCTGCCGCCGCCAGTGCGCGCAGACACCATGGTGCTTATATTATCGCCGCCTCCATTATCGAACCAGCCACGCAGTTTGTGGGCCTCAGGAATGTCTGGATTAATTTTAAGAATTGAGCCTCCGCCCATGCTGAGACTTTTGCCGCCATTGAATTCATTGATGCGCGATCCCTTGACCAAAATGACGGGTTGCACATGTCCATCAAAATTGACGGCTTCATCGCCCCAAAGTGTAAGGGTGACAGCAGCATTGCTTGTATCCACCAACGTGAGTTCGCGTTTCTTGAACTCCTTGTTGGTCGTACGTGAAGTGAATGTCTGCAGTTCGCCTACTTCTTTGCAAATGCCAATTGTATCGACCGACTCTTTATTCTCCATGTTTGAAACTTGTGAAATAGGTATCAGATCGAATTTGATCTCGGGTATGCCGCCATTGTCTTCATCATCGCATAGCTGAACCATTGTTTCTCCGGTGAACGTCATCTCATAATCATTTTTCAGTTGTGAATACTGCTTGTTGGCCGGCTTAAGCTGGCACTTAGAGAAGAAGTAGACATTGTCCACCTCGATCAGGTCGTAGAATTTATCACACTGCTCTTTGAAAGCAGTGGCGCGAATCTCACCGGATTCGTCCATTAAATCCATACTAAAGAGCTTACCTTCGCCGCGTGCATTGCTCCAAGTGCGTATGGCCGTCTTTGAAGTAACTCGCGCCTTAATGACCCATTTGTTTTGATATGGACTTAAACTGGCAATTGGATGTGTAAGACTGGCACTGAGTGTACTGTTCATGGTGCTGTTCATGGTATTGTTATTGTTATTGTTATTATTGTTATTGTAAGATTGTTCCTTTTTCAGTGGAGCACTCGCTGCAGGAGTTGCTTTTGTCACTGTATCCTGCTTGGCCGCATTCTCGTATGTCACGGGATCGCCTATTTTTGTTTTTACTTCCTCCCCCGAGTTCAGCACAGTTAGCTCGGTTACAATAAGCACGCGTCTAAGAAAGATTGGTTAGATAAACATTTTCAGCCGAATTCAATTATCAACTTACTTGCCGGAGCCTTCTTTGCCAACCATGGAAGTCATGTATTTTTCCAGACGCACAATTGTGTTCTCATTGAGCAGTCCCCTATGCTGCATTTCATTCAACTGGCTGGCCAACATGGCATAGCTGTTGTAATATTTTCCATCCGACATGAGTAACCGGTAACGTTCCTGATCCGTATTGGTGTTGATTCGCTTGATCCCCAGGATTTGCAACACCGGTTGTATGACATCCTCGCCGTGCATGATGCGCTGTAAGGAATATCAGTTCAATGCACCAGAAACACAAAGAATTAATAATATCATTACCGCAATGACGCCTGTGGTAAGACTTGCAATCGGCATTTTATAGTTAAATTACAGAAGATTCCCTGGCAAAAAAGTAACTACAGTTATTGTGAAATGCGGCGCAGTTATAATCTGTGTGATGCCCGAAGTGGCGGGAACAGTAATGCGAAAAGCTTCAATCGATATGTCGTAGTTTTCTGACGTTGCCGATAAAAATGCAACCCTGTGAATTGTAACTATCGATGACTTATTGACCGCAGCACTATAGAAAAGTCATCGTAGGCTGAACTGCAGGCCCGTCGTGCTCGTTTCTGTCGTACCTGTTTCGTTTGCAAATTAAAATAATTTGCTTACCGTGAAGACTTATATTAACATATGGTTACAAAGTCATCAGAAACTGAACCGAAAGTGAAGCTGCTGAAAAAAGTGTGTGAAAATAAGAAAGAAATTGTATGAATTTTTCAGCTGCCAATACGAAGCAAGGCACAAAGAGCAAATAAAAGAAACAATGAGCGAGCGAAACAGCACCATCGTGTGATAGCTAGTGCAACTCTTCTTTCCAAATAAAACAAAACAAATGAGAAACAAAGGATAGAAACCCCGAAAACTCCGCACACTCACACGCACACAAATACATACAATAGGAAGAAGAGCAGATGATGAAGCAGGCAAAAAACTGTCCAATAAACGACAATAAAGTTTACAAAATGTTCGACTACAAACTATTAACTGTTTAAACTGCATTAAAGAAGACGTAATTGTAAACGCCATGCTTACTTTGCAGTAATGTATTCGAACTGCAAGTGAAAGGAGAAAATCCATTGCCATCGGCTCATTTTACTGTCTGTGTGTCTGTGCCCGTGCATCTGTGTGCGTGTGTGTGGAATTAAAATTGGGTTTGGGGTTGGTAAATTGTGAAAAGTGTTAAACGCCACAAGACTTTTCCCCCTCTACGGCAAGCATTTCCATAAAAAAAGGGGTACAAATAAAAATGCCCAGCGCCTCGTTCACATCATCGCGCACCTATGTGCGCCGCTCCAGACGAAAAGGAGCCAATCGCATAGCCACGCCAAATCGTCCCACGGGCAACATAATGGATCCCATGCTGCAGCAGTCAGTGCATGCACAGCAAAACAATACTGCAGCAACAAGCACAGCCTCCGCATCAGTAGCATCAGCAGTAGCAGCTGGAAATAGCAATAGTTCAAACAGTAACAACAACAACAATAACAATGCTGCTCCAAACAGCAGCAATGCCGCGGAATACTTTGATAGTGGACAATCCACGAGTAGCACTGCTGCCGGACCCTCCGCTGGTCTAAATCAAAATCCGTGCATGAGTAATATCTATAATTCTGTGCAGATTATGGACACCTCCGATGGCAACTCAACGCCGGCCAGCACCTCATCAGCCGCCGGCCCAAGCAGCAGCAACAGCAACAGCAATGGCATCTCCTGCAATTCCAATTTTCCCAGCACATCGGCTGCCAGTCAGAGCAACAGCAGCAGCAGCAGTAGCAGTAGTAGCGTTTCCTGTTGCCATCAGTCGCCATATGATCTGCGCCGCAAGATATCGGCAGTGAGTAACCACGATCAATGGTGCTCCTCTGGTTCGAGCGCTAGCCAATCGGTGTCTATTATGGTGGGTCCAGCCAGCAGTTCGCCACCATTATTGAATCCTAGCAATTCACCTGCCTGCTCCTCATCAGCATCATCAGCCTCAAACTCGTCGTCAACCTCGTCGTCTTCATCGCCATCGGCCATTGTGCAGGCACCATCGACCAGTGCCACCTTTCCCGTGAGCAATGCGCCCACAACAGGTGCCACACTTGCCCAGCCGCCGAATGTTCATAGCTCTGTACCGCAGCAACAGCATTGTGGTGCATTGCCAGTGGGCGGTGCAGCGGCGGTAATTGAGGAGAATAATTATATGCTGCCGGCACGCAAACGTTCGCGCCGCCTCTATACGCAGAGCGGGGAGACTGACACGGCAGCAGTGCCCAGCATGGAAGCCGGCAGCGGAGGCAGTGCGGCAAGCGGTGGTGGGCCCACTGCAGCACAGTATTTGCAGTATGAGCTAGCTGATGAGGTGTTGCTGGCCATTTTCTCTTACCTGCTGGAACAGGATCTTTGCCGGCTGGCGCTGGTTTGCAAACGCTTCAATACCATTGCCAACGATACGGAACTGTGGAAACGACTCTTTCAATCTGTATTCGAGTACGATTTGCCGCTCTTCAATCCCGAGCTATGCAAATTTGTATTTGAAAAGCCTGAAGAATCGGAGTTTGCCAATCCCTGGAAGGAGAGCTTCCGTCAGCTCTATCGCGGCGTTCATGTGCGTCCTGGCTACCAGGATAGGCGCCAACCTGGACGCAGCATTGTCTTCTTCAATACTATACAAGCAGCTCTCGAGCCGGCCTTTGCCTCGGGTTCCAATGCTGGCGCTGGCGCTGGCAATCTTAATGCAGGTCTCTCAAACACCACCAGCAGCACCGGTACCGGCAGCGGTGGCGGTGGAGGAGGAGCCAGCGTCAATGCCCTGGCCAATATATACGAAGAGAATGTGCCGCCAGCGGAGCATCCGGGGCCACTAATATTCCTGCATGCCGGCCACTATAAAGGAGAATATCTATTTATTGACTCCGATGTAGCACTCGTCGGTGCAGCGCCCGGCAATGTGGCCGAATCTGTGGTGTTGGAACGTGAGGCAGGCTCCACTGTGATGTTTGTGGAGGGTGCCAAATACGCTTATGTGGGCTACTTAACGCTCAAGTTCTCACCGGAGGTAACCTCCACTGTGTCGCATCACAAGCACTATTGTCTGGACATTGGCGAGAATTGTTCGCCAACTGTGGACAACTGCATCATACGCTCTACATCGGTGGTGGGTGCTGCTGTCTGTGTTGGGGGCGTCAGTGCCAATCCCGTCATACGCAACTGTGACATCAGCGACTGCGAAAACGTCGGCCTCTACGTGACGGACTATGCCCAGGGCACCTACGAGCACAACGAGATCAGCCGCAACGCCCTGGCCGGCATTTGGGTGAAGAACTTTGCCAGTCCCATAATGCGTGAGAATCATATACATCACGGACGCGATGTGGGCATATTTACCTTTGAGAATGGCATGGTATGTGAATATAATATTGAATATGTGAACAAGTTAAATATGTAATCGTCTGAAACTACTATAATTACTGTTATATTATTATAATTACAATTTCAGGGTTATTTCGAGAAGAACGATATACACAACAATCGCATAGCCGGTTTTGAGGTCAAAGCTGGCGCTAATCCCACAGTGGTCAAGTGTGAGATTCATCATGGTCAGACGGGCGGCATCTATGTGCATGAGAACGGGCTGGGACAGTTCATCGAAAATCGAATACATTCAAATAATTTTGCGGGTATGTATCTCAAGCTCCGATTACTGATAACAAATTATCGATATCAAACAAAACTTAAATGAATAATAAAATCCAATATGTGAATACAGTAAAATTACTAAATAGTTTAGTTTATAGACTACAATTTATATATATCTAGAAAGTATATCGAAATCACTAGCGACTTTTCCTATCGATTTTTCCTTTAAATATATTTTTATTTTACTTTGAAGTCTATAATTTGTTTATTCAGATAAGAAAGGATATGGTAATCATTATCGATTACTATATTTTACTCATATCTAAGTAATCGATGACTATCGAGAAGCTATTGAAACTCTGACTTTTTTATTTAGGTGTGTGGATAACATCCAACAGCAATCCAACCATACGCAAGAATGAAATCTACAATGGTCATCAGGGTGGCGTCTATATCTTTGGCGAGGGTCGCGGCCTCATTGAGCACAATAACATCTATGGCAATGCATTGGCTGGCATTCAGATACGCACGAACAGTGATCCGATTGTGCGGCACAATAAGATTCATCATGGCCAGCATGGGGGCATCTATGTGCACGAGAAGGGTCAGGGTCTGATTGAGGAGAATGAGGTGTACTCCAATACATTGGCCGGTGTTTGGATAACCACGGGCAGCACACCAGTGCTGCGACGTAATCGTATACACTCCGGCAAGCAAGTGGGCGTCTATTTCTATGACAATGGACATGGCAAGCTGGAGGATAACGATATATTTAATCATCTGTATTCGGGTGTTCAAATACGCACTGGCAGCAATCCGGTGATACGTGGCAACAAGATCTGGGGCGGCCAGAATGGCGGCGTTCTTGTTTACAACGGAGGACTGGGTCTGCTGGAACAGAATGAGATCTTTGATAATGCCATGGCTGGCGTGTGGATCAAAACAGACTCGAATCCCACACTCAAGCGTAATAAGATCTATGATGGTCGCGATGGCGGCATATGCATATTCAATGGTGGCAAGGGCATACTCGAGGAGAACGACATCTTTCGCAATACGCAGGCGGGCGTGCTGATCTCAACGCAATCGCATCCGATACTGAGGCGCAATCGTATCTACGATGGGCAAGCAGCTGGCGTGGAGATAACCAACAATGCAACAGCTACGCTGGAGCATAATCAGATATTTAAGAATAAATTCGGTGGGCTGTGCCTGGCCAGCGGTGTGCAGCCAATAACGCGTGGCAATAACATATTCAACAACGAGGATGAGGTGGAGAAGGCCGTATCCAGCGGTCAATGCCTATACAAGATAAGCAGCTATACATCCTTTCCCATGCACGACTTTTATCGCTGCCAGACCTGCAATACAACGGATCGAAATGCCATATGTGTCAATTGCATAAAGAATTGTCATGCAGGACATGATGTTGAATTTATACGACACGATCGGTGAGACAACTACAATTGTATATATGTTTATTTTGTATAATCGAATTGCGTTTGATTTTGCAGTTTCTTTTGTGATTGCGGTGCCGGCACCCTATCCAATCAGTGTCAGCTTCAGGGCGAGCCCACGCAGGACACGGACACGCTCTATGACTCGGCAGCGCCCATGGAATCACACACACTGATGGTTAACTAGGGCAGCCTATGCACTCGCCGTCGCAGTCACAGTCACAGTCGCAGCATCAGCATCATCAATAAAAACACTCTAATGGTATTTTATATTTTCAATTAAGCTCTCAACTGTTTAGACTTAAGACGTTCGCTAACTCGCTCTCTCCCACAAAATTGTGTTGCTGTACATATTCACTAAGACACACACACCTGCCCGCCTACCCGCCTACAAACACACACACTCACGCCCTCAATAATACAATCGATTGTATATAAATAATAATTAATCTGCGTTCAAAATTTAACTCAATGTGCAATTTAGTTTAAACCAATTCAAAATACAATTTATGGAAATGCATCGACGCCAGTCCAATGTCCACAATCTGTCACAACGAAACAAAACACATTTTCAAAATAATGCATTTCTTTTTGTACAAGAAACGAGAATGTTGAATGAAAAACGATATGATATGCTAAAGGGTGATAAACGTGTATGAGAAACCAGAAAACCCAGTGAAGAAAAACGATTTTGTAATGTAGCTAAGTAGTTTTTTTTAAATTCCAACTAAAAACTAAAATAACAAAAGCAAAATGAAGTGTATTTTAAGCCGCCAACAAACAAACAAACAAACCAACAAACATACAAAAAAAAACTATAACAATACGAAAAGCAATTTTAAGTATTAATAACAAATTAGATAAACGACAGCAGCCGCTTTTTTGCTTTAGCAACAAAACTAACAAGCATACAAATATAAATATAAACATATATATACATATAAACATATAAACATAAACATAAACATAAACATATATATATCTACATATATATATTTAATTACCTATACATAAATACAGTTTTCAGAATCAAAAGCGTTTAATAGCATTCAATAATGAGCAATATTTCATGTCTAAATGTCAAAAAAAAGGAAAGCAAAAAATAAGAAAAACATTAGCGAAAAGCTTAACGAATATATATATTTGTGTCATTTTAGCAACTTAAGCTTAAACAAAATGAAAACAAAAATGAACTGTTTCGGTTTGCGGCAAAGTATTCAAAGTATTCGAATTATGCAAACTCATTATTTTTAACTATAATCGATATTACTAAGTAGCATTATATACTATATATATATATATATATATATCGTGTATGTTTGTAGAGATACACAGTAACTAGTTTTATATATATATAAAGATATATATATATGCGCAGCGTAGAAGAGTTTAATCCTTTGATGATTTGTGTTTTTGATTAATTTTTCTCTTTAAGAATTAACTAGTTTTGTTTATTTTTTCATGCCTAATATTTTTTATATGTTGCCAATGTGTTTATTTATGTTACATTTTCGCGATTCGCTTGTTTTTTTTTCATAATATATATTTTTGCATAAATCAAATAACTTGAATGAAGATCGATTTAAATTTAACAAAAAAAATGAAGAAAAACATAAAAAGAAACCAACCATATGCTAAACATAAATATTTTACGTATCTTAATATAGGCATAAACAAATACACAGACACACACACACACACACACACACAGACACAAACACAAACATATTTCAAGTATATAAGCGTATTTACTAACAACAAAAAACATAAATATATAAAATAATAGCGTTGTGCATACCTACTATATACATCCATATACACATATATGTGTGTATTTGTATTTCGATGTAAGAGCAAAAGAGCAACGACAATTTTGAATTGTAAAACACACAAGCACACACACAGATACACAAACACACACACACAGACACACCTATATTATGTAGAAATGAATTTTAATGTGTTACCTACGCATCGTCGTCGACTTGGACTCACAGACAACAAACTAATTATACACATACCAGGTATAAGCTAAAATTATATTTGAAATTATTTCACAAAAAAAAAAAAAAACAAAAAAAAAAACAAAATCGTTGCATTCTATTTATTTTAATTATATGGATATATACGCATATTATAAATTTGCAATTCAAACTGTCTGAATATTCAGAGCAAAAAGCTCACGTTTTTTTTTGTTTGCTTATACATGCTTCAACACTTTTTGTCTGCAGACAGCAAAGCGACAATGCTACTGTAATTGCCGGCTTTGGCATATTGTATAGCACACAGCCCGACGTTGTCCTTGGCACTGGGATTGCGATAGAAGGGCAACAGATACTTAACCACCTTGATTTGGCCGAGCTGGCTGGCGTGATGCAGTGGCGTGCGACCGCTGCCATCGGATACCTCGAGATCGGCACAGGCCAAGCGATACGACTCCAAGCGCTCGATATTCCCATGCTCGGCGAGTGGACGCAATTGCTCGGCCAGATCCAATGGATTTTCTGTTAGCTTGGCGCCTCTCTTTTGCAATATTTTTATAATCTGATGGTTGTCTGTATCGATGGCTTCGTGCAGCGGCGTTCGATTAAATCGATCGGTCAAGTCCACTGGGCATCCTTCGTCTAATAGGGTTCGCACGCAGCTTACCTTGCCCAGAAAACATGCCAGATGCAAAGCAGTCCGTCCCTCCGTGTTCGTATCGCTCAGATTCGCACCGTATTGCTTGAGGCTTGTCAGTTTCTGCGAATTATCCTCTCGAACGGCTGCTTCGACGAGCGCTGGAAAGAATGTGGAGCACATTTCGTCACGTTTCTTGTTACTGGATACGTTAAGACCACGTGCCACGCCCTCAATCAAATCGACCTCAGTGCTGACTGACAATTTGGACACGCTCATCTCGCCGCGCAAGTTTCGGGCCATCATTTCCTTCTTACTCTCTGCGTCCCATTCCTTTTTTCCCAGCACATAAGATAATTTGGTCAATGCTGCCTCCTGAGTCATATCGGAGGCAGATATGACGCCAACATCCATCCAACTGCTCGATAGGGACTCGGGCAACACTTTACCAACTGAGCATTGCGTCATATTCACAACCAGAACACCACGCTGAACCGCATCTGAAATCACTTCGAGGAACGAAGTATCTTTGGTTGGTATATTACCGACTCCGTAGGTCTGTAAGACAACGCCCTTGATAGGGTCATTAAAAACGGCTTGCATTATTTCTACTGTAATGCCTGGATACAAGCGCAGCAGGCCCACATTCCGCTCCATTCCAGTGAATACAGAGAATGAATCTGTGTCGCTAGGCCTAAGTATGTGCTTCTGATCTATGTCGATGTTAACGCCAGATATGCCGAGTGCGGGAAAATTGGGCGAATCGAATGCGTGAAAAGAATTGCTTGCCCGCTTTGTGGAGCGGCAGCCGCGCAACAACTTGTGACCGAAGAATACCATTACCTCGGGCACGTCATAGTTGCCAGCTATCAGCAGCGATGAAATAAAATTGTCCCGACCATCTGTGCGCATCTCAACAATGGGCAACTGGCTGGCGGTTAGTACAACGGGCTTGGACAGATTCTCAAGTATAAAAGCGAGAGCAGAGGCAGTAAAGGTTAAGGTGTCTCTGCCATGCAGAATGACAAAGCCCTCATAGCGCTCGTATTTGTCCTGCAAGCAAAAGAGATTAACCCAAGTACAAAGTTTTGAGTTGCATTATGCGTACGCCCACTTCGTTGGCTATGTGCTCCCAGTCATCCGTCTGTAAGGAGCAAGAGTTCATCAATGGCGAGAATTCCAATATATCGTAGATCACACGGAATTCTGCGCCATGAATCGGTGGTAGCACCAAAGGCGAGTCTTCGCCCCTCTCGAAAGCCAGATTATATCTTTTGTCGTGGCAGCTGGAATCTTCGCGCAGTCGCTTGATGAGTTCATCCTTGATACTTTTCAAACCTGACAAGCCGCTTTTCAAATATGGTTCAATTCCACTGATATAAAACACTTACTGCCGTCGGCTTGCCGTATCATACCAATGCAACCGCCGGTGTTGATGACGAGGACACGCGATTCCTTTTTATGCTTGCAGCGACATGATTGATTTGCCATTGCAGCCAACTGCCACGATACGCTAACTGAATTTTAAAAGTTTATTTTCCCAAACATTAAATAACAAATTTTCACTTATAACTGACATAGCTTTCAAAAGATTACAATGTTAGATTAACATAAGTTAGCGTTGCCAGACGTCCGCAAGCAGAATAGATTTAATATATTAATGTTATTGCAAACAACAGTTTTTTCAATTTAAACTTTACCATGGATTCGACAAAAAATTAATAATTTGTATTCCAGCATTCAAGTAGTGAGGTTGTCACTTTTAGGTATTGTCCCATTGTAAATTGTATACAAACTGAACAACTAACAGTTAATTATTGTTATTACAAGTAAACAAATTACTTGAAGAAATATCAGTTTCAGATAACTTTACATTTTCACAATATATCAATAACAACGTTTGTATTATTGATTTGAGCGCCATTTGTTAAATTTAAATATTGTGGCCCTGCCTGTTGTTTACCAACAGAAATAACTAGTAACGGTTCATTAAATGTTAATAACATGAGATATTCTGTTAGGTAACATTTGCGTCCGGATGCCAAACGAATAATGGTGTGACCATATTTATAAACATGTTATTTGTGTAAACATATAGACCGGTGTGTGTTTACATATAAGTAAACAAATTTGTCGGCTATCACTTATGCCGGGGCCAAACAGACAATTTCCGAAGAATGATTTCATAAACTTTATAGTAGTTGGAACTGTGCGAAATCTTCAAAATGAGTTTGCTTCTTGGCTGGCGAGTACAAAAATGCGCATGTAAATTATGTTTATTTAGTGGATCGATCAGCGCGCTTAGGATCGCCGCCAAAAAGCAACCGTGACGTCACGCGCTTCCTCTTCTTGTGAGTAACGCACACCTGCAACGCACTTAAGCCACTGCCATGCGGTCGACAGAGATGTCCAGGCTTGACCTTATTGGGAATTTGTAGTTGCCATAAGGACAAACAACTTGATGACATTTTAATTAAGATGCAAAACCCAACAATTTGCCGTTTGTCATTAATTAATTAGAGCAACAACAACAATGGACTGATGCGAACAGTTGTTGCTAATGTCTGCCAAAAAGAAAACAAAACAAGACAAAGCAAAAAAAAATAGAGAAAAGAACGAAGCCACAGCATGCAACAGCAACATCAACAGCCCAGCAGCAATAACGGCAACAAATTATTTGCTAGAATTGAGCAATTTGCTAGTTCTGCGTTACGTATAGGCAATATTAAAAATAAAGTACGAGCGCCCAGCGAAAAGGCAAGAGCACATCACCTTGTCGCCCCGCCCAGAGACTAGAGATCATTCAGAAGATGAACAAACGCAGCATCATCATTTTGTGCATCATTGCCACGCTGCTGTGCGTTGTGCTCGGCGCCAACTTCTACTTCATGTACTACCTCAATGCTGAGGAGGGGCAGCTGGCGAGCGTGCGTGCGCTGGAGAATATGATCCGGCAAAAGATACGCCATCTGAAGCCCGCGTATTTAAATCGCAATCCTCGCTTCTTCATGTTTCGCAACAAACTGCTGAAGAACTACAAGCAGGCGGCCTACGAGAATGCCAGCGTGCTCTGGGAGATAGCTAACTGGGTGAGTCTGCCTACAACCATATTCTGGTCACAATATGTCTAACGTACATTTTGCAGTGGCCGCACGAGAACGAGATCTATCCCTTGTATGACTCCTCGATGGGGCAACTGTTGAAGACGTTGCGCGAGGAGCCCATCACCAGGGCGAATAATTTGGCACGAGGCACACAGCTGAAGCTGCTGCTGCGGCTCAGCCAGCAGCAGAAGGTAATCTTCAAGCCGCAATGGTATCCACGTGACGTGGTCATCGAGGGCGTTGTCTACAGCGGCAAGGATCGCCATGTGGCCGAGGTGTATGCCTTCTATTTGGGCGCAGTACTCGATTTACGCTGGACACCCATTGTGGTCGGTCGCGTGGTAAATCTCAAAAATGATCTATACGCCCACGGCGATCAAGAGCTCCAGAACACAATTAAAATTGAAGTCGATGATGAGGGTAACGAGACATATTGCCTGTTTGGCAAGTGTCACTATTGCAACGAGGAGGAGACTGTTTGCGGCGATGAGCAGCACAATATCGAGGGCGTCATCATCTACATTGTGCCGGGCACGTTGGCTAAACGTCGTTCCCCATGGCAACGCACCTACAAAGAGGAAAAGCGTGCCATTTGGGAAGATGATATGACCTACTGCAAGTGAGCCGACAAGTTGATATATCAAGTTAATCGAGTTATTTTAGCTCTTTTTTTATTTCTCAGATCTCTCAAGAATAAAATGGAAACAATACGGCTGCTGGATCTCATAGACGTGGCCATCTTTGACTATCTGATACAGAATGGAGATCGACATCATTATGAGACGCGCGAAGAGCGCGTTGTACTGATTGACAATGGCAAAGCTTTTGGCAATCCGAACAAGGATCATCTGGACATCCTGGCCCCTCTCTATCAGTGCTGCCTGTGAGTTCGGATCCCGATTATAATTGCCCTTAGTCTAAGCCTACGTTTATTTCCCTTTTAAGCATACGTAAATCCACGTGGGATCGCCTGCAAGTTTTTTCGGGCGGCGTGCTGACTGAAATAGTTGACCGTCTATCCAAACAGGATGCTCTCTATCCGCTCATCACGGACAAGCATAAACGCGGTGTTGAGCGCAGATTACTTGTGGTATTCGCTGTGGTGGAGTACTGCATGGACAAGGAGGGTGACAAGATGTTTAAAACTCTCTAGTTCCACTTACAGTTTAGCTAAGGTCTAGGTTGTTATTAGGTTTAGTAAATCAAGTGCCCAGAAATACACGTATATATCGATAGTTATAGTAATTGCTTAAAATATCTAGTGAATGACGAAGTTTGAACTACTTTTCCAGATCAATTGTTAAATTTAATGTTACAATCCATTTGTAACTACTATTAGTTTTATTTAAAGTTAAGATTGTTGCCTAGTTTAAACAGAATACAAACTGAAAGAAAACAAAACTAAATATTCTGAATGCAGTTTCAATGACTACATATGTCGGTCTGTTGATCGGGTCGAATTTTTCCAGATTTTTTTTCTCATTTACTTCTTTCTCTCTTTATTAATTTTGCTGAAAGTAAACAGTTTATTAAACTGCTTATTGTTCCGATTGTTTGGTCGATTCTGCAATGAATTAAAATTGATTTTTATAAGCATTCGAAGTGGTTCGATTCAATTAATCAAACATCAAACTTACCTTGCCGCGTATTTGTGACTTGATTTCTGTGCCCTGTGCGCGTTTAGCGCCGCCTTGAAATTGTCGGAAGTCTACGTTTTTATAGTCAAAGTTTTGTACCACTCCGCTATTGGAGGGCAATTGTACAGCTCTATTGGAGCTTTGTGCTTGCATTCGTGCCTTGGCCTTGAATCGGTTATTTTTCTCCTGGCGTTTCTGCTGGCGCTTGCTGAGCATAGGTGTCGGAATCTCAATGGGACCTTTCTCGATGGGCACTTCAACCACTTCATCGTCGTCGTCATCATTATGGTCTACCTCTATTTTGTTTTGTTGTGTCAGATTAATTAATGCCCCGGATGTGGACGCACTTGGCATCTCCTCACTTTTATTGCGTTTCGCCAGCGTGGATTGATCACTTGTGGGCTGATGTTTACGTTTTAGTTGTTCCTTCAGTGGAATATTGTATACAGAATCCTCTTCCACCTTTGGTTCAATTTGCAATTCGGTCGGCGGCACGGGCTCGGCGGGGCAAAGACGTCGCGTGAGCTGCTCATTATTTTGTTGTGCAGTCTGCTCATTCTTCTGCTGCTGCATGAGCGGCAAAATAGCCATGTAGCGCTTATAGGGCATGCGCATTGTTTTACTCTCCTGCCGGGCGCGCATCCAACGCACCTGCTCGTCCTGTGTGGGTGTCGCTGGCCTTTCTAATAATGATAGAGCAGGTGCAATTAAGGATGCCGAAGGTACCTCAAGTTTCGGTTTGCTTGGATGCTCCAATTTGCCCGTAGGGTTGCGACTTAGCAGTGTGGGTAAATCATCGCGTATCTCCTCTTGATGCGAAAAGTCAAGTGGGCAATTCAGTTTGCTATTGAAGTCTTTAGTGCTCGGCAATAAGTGTATGGGAACAATGTGACGTGCTTCTAATATGGGCTATAAGCGAAAGCATAGAGGATTATTGATTTGTAAAGATTAGACATTGCGTCTGGATGACTCACTTTGATTAAAGGTTGTTCACGCGCCCGTAGCACAATTTGATGCAACGTGTTGAGCTGCTGGCGTACCAAAGGAGGAATAGGATTGCAACAGGCCAATATACCTTGCATTTCACGAGGCAAACTTTCTGCAATTTGTAACATCATATGATTGGGCAGAACATAACCATAGCTTTCGTCTTCCTGACGAGCGGTAGCATCGCGCCACACAAAGATACCGCGCAGTGCATGTAGCTGGCGATTGTCAAAGGAGCGCTTCGTTTTACGCACTAGATCCAGATGTGAATCCGGTCCAATGTGCGGCTTTGTGTAGCGCTTCTTGCAAACGTCTGTGCTCATTTGGTAAACCATACGCAAGCCCTGTAGCTGACCTTGCTCGGATTGCAACAAATCGTTCGTGAGACGCTCGTAAACATAGATGAGATAGTGTGTGTCCTGGCGTGCATAGTCAATTAGTTTTTGTGGCAGTGGACGCATGCGCCAGTCTGCCAATTGCAAGCTCTTATCCACATCCAGATCGAGGTAATGCTTCAGTAAAAATGCTAACGAAAGTCGTGCCATGTTTAAGGCTTTGGCAGCGCGATGTGTATCGAACATATTAACGATGTATAGAGATAGATCGCGTTGCAGCCATTCAATATCGAGATCAGCGCCATGCAATATCTTAAGCACCTTGGGATCGGTGAGCACTAGATTTAGTATGTGCATGTCTTCGCGCAACGTCAGCGTGTCGAATATATAGTCTTTCGTGCGTGTTGACATTTGCACGAGGCAAGTGATGCCCATAAACGTGCGATACGAATGATGCTCCACATCGATGGCTATTTGAGGCGCTTGGCGCAGCTCCTTTAGTGCCTCTTGCAGTGCCTCCACATTGTCTACTACCATCAGTTCAGTTTCAGCTGGTGGGGCCGGCAAGAGGGGCTTTTGCATTTGCAATTGCTCATTGGGCGGCTCAAATTTCAACAGCTCAAACTCATACGGATGTAGGTAAGACACTACGTTACCAGCATCATCGTATTCGGGCAGCAATGCCAAGGGCTTCAGCGAATTAGGCTTCTCCGTAAGACGCGGTCGAAAAGGATTCTGAGAGCTATTGTCCACCGGCACCTTAAACTGTATTTGCGGACGCATTATATTGTGTGCCGTATACAATCGTGCAGAGACCATGTTGCGCGCTGGAGTGCCAGGAGTTGTGCTGTAGCGATTCCAGCTACCAGCACGTGGCGATTCTTTTGTTATGGTCGCTGATTTTGCGGCACTCGATGTAGATTGTACATCGACCTGGGTTTCGACAACCATGGGCTGGTTGCCTCGTCTAAGACCGCTTCTAATGTCTAAATTTGTAGTGATACGTTCGAATAGGATATCATTAAATTCCTGCACCATTTCCAGCTGTTCATCGCCTTGACGCCTATGGATATTTCTTATTAGAATTTTAAACGTATGGAGATTAAGGGCTTATTTACCTTTTTATGTCACCTGATATATTTTCCGTCTTTAAGACCTTGTTAATCAATCCCAGCACTCGCTGCGACTGCTCCTCCAACATACGTGCATACCCTGGATAACTGAGATAAATCGAACGGGCTGCACCCTGTGGAAATGCATTACAGCAGCGTGTAGCAGCTACTACATTGCGATATGCTTCCTAAATAATGAGAAGTGAGAATTGGCTAATTTTTAAATAATTTGCATTCACTTACCGTTGTAAAGGTGACCAAGTTTCTGCGATCCGAGCTGGCTTGAGATGTTGACGGTTGGGAAGCGGGTTCTTCTTCAGGCTGTTCTGGTTCCGACAGATTTGTTTGTTTTGGCGTCTGTGGCATTGTGTTGGATATAATATGATGGTTGGCTTTTGATATTTTCGGTACTATTGTATTTGATTTGTTTGCTGGTTGGGTACAAAAAATGTGCGTTTTTCTTCTTCTTCCGAAAGAATTAAAAACACCGATAATTTAGAGTTGTCAACACTACTACCAGCGGCAAATTTTAATTACTCATTGAAATGCAAGACTATTGTAAACGATCCAATTCGAGCTGGCCATTCAAATTTACAGCGAAGAAAATTATAAAAAATTGATTGAGAGATTGAAATGATTTCGACAACATATTCGACCGCATCATGTTTTAAATCTGTGACATGCCTGTCCTTGTCCGAGTATTGTCATCACTAAATTGAATATCGGATGTATCGAAATCGTGCCATTCCCTAACTAGAGCAAGCAACTGGGCTACAAGTACATCGATGTTTATGGGATAATCGAAATCCCAGCGTTAGCCGCCAGAAAAAGAAAAGAAACGTAATTATAAAATTATATATTAAAACTACGTCAAGCCATCCCATCCATAACTCAACCCAACTCCCCGCACTGCATCATCATGTTGGATTTATACAGGCGCGCTGTGGGTCGCTTTCCACTTGGCAATGTCAGCTACATGTTCGCCTATGGATCGGGCGTTAAGCAGCAAATAGGCTATGAAAAAGTTCAACAGAAGCCGGATTCAAAAAGTGTCATCGACTTAGTATTTTGCGTACGTGATACTCGAGGCTTTCATGCGGAGAATATACACCGGCATTCCAGTCATTATTCAGCATTGCGTTATATGGGGTCCAACCTTGTGGCACAGTATCAGGAGCTACTCGGCGCCAGGGTTTATTTCAATACGCTGGTGCCACTTTATGATCTAGGTGTGACAATCAAATACGGCGTAGTACATGAGGATCATTTAATTGATGATCTACTCAATTGGCGGCATCTTTATTTGGCTGGGCGCCTACAAAAACCGGTTACTGATCTCGTAAAGCTAGACGCCGATTCACGTCTTAAAACGGCTTTGGAAAGAAATCTACGGTCAGCCTGTCAGACTGCGCTGCTGCTGCTGCCCGAGAAATTTACCGCCTACGAGCTATTTTATGCCATTGCCGGGCTAAGCTACAAGGGCGACTTTCGTATGATTTTTGGCGAGAATAAGCAGAAGGTGCACAACATAGTCCAGCCACAAGTCTCCGAGTTCTTCGCACTCTACCAACCCATTATGAAACAGTTGTCGCAGTACATGGCCGTTGACTTGCATGGCCAAGAGCCGCGATCACTAAAGCCGGCCATTGTTTTCGAGCAGGATAAATCTGGCGAAGCTACACGATATCATCTGCGTCATTTGCCTAAAGAGCTGTGCCACCGTCTCAAGCGCAATGCTGCCTGCCGCGGAGATTATGCGGATGTGGTAGAGTATCTAGCCGTAGCACCATTGCTCTCCAAGATCGTCCAGGTCTCGGTGAATGACATCGTGTGGCGCAGTAGCATTAAGCAATCGCTGAAAAATATTGCCACAGCTGGGATTATCAAGTCACTCGTCTATAGCTTTCGCAAGGCCCAGAAGACTTTCGCAGTTTAAAGTATTTATATTATCTGCTATAAGTTAATCTTTCGCTAATCTTCCCTGCCAATTATTGACTAAGTTGCGCTAACTTGTGCTAACTTTTTGTTAATTAATTTTAAGTCCTAAAGTTGTTGTTGACATCAATAGAGAAACTGCAAAGTAGAGCCCTGAGTTTTCATTGCCAGCAATTTCGAAATGTTTTACAGAGGTCATGACCAGCGATTCGAGCAGTTCCAGCGCCGAGGAGCACAGGCGCAAGCGCAAGCATAAAAAACAAAGCAAGGACGCTGATAAGAAGCAAAAGAAATCCAAGAAGCACAAACATGAAAAGCGTCACAAGGAAAAGAAACGTTGCAAGCGGGACGCTTCGCCAGAACAGAAGCAAGCGCTTCAAGAACTGCCAGCTAGACAGCTGCCGGTGACGATTGATGATACAGATGCAGATGCAAATGCTTATATGCCCGCGCTACCGCCATACTTGGTTAATCAGGAAAAACCTCAGATGGATGCTCGGCCACAACAAACACAGATTATTGGACCCGTAATGCCCAGCCAGCTTGCAATAATTAACGAAGATGCTCCGCACAAAAGCGAAGCCGCTGATGATGATGATGACGATATGACGGGCATGTTTGGACCAATACCAAATGCCACACAAGTTGAGCTGGAGGAACGTGCGCTGGCTATGAAGCTAGCTGCACTGGAGGGCGGCGGCTTGGGCAGCTCTGCAACGGATCAAGATGTGCGCGAAGAATGGATGTTGGAGCTGCCCGAAGTGGGTCTAAAGACTGGTTTGGCCGCTCTCAACAATATGAAGCGCACTTTCTACCAGGGCAAAGAGCGACCAGATTTTAGTGATCGCAGCTCTTGGACTAAGACGCCGCAGAGTGTGGCTGCTGGTCCGAAGCCCTGCAGCTCTAAAGAATTGGAGCAAAAGGCGCAGGCTAACTACGAACGGCAACGTGATGAGGAGCAGGAATGCATTGCCAAGAAACACAAAAAGAAGCACAAACGAGATGAATCCCTTGTCCAGCTGCATCAGAAGAAACTGCGCAAGGAGCAGCGCGAACGGGTACAAATTTTGCATTTTAAAATGTTCGATGTTTTTAACTGTTGTTGTTTGTAGGAGAAGGAACTGGCTGCCAGCGGTTCTAAACCCGAGCGGCGACCCTTTAGTCGCGACGTGGATCTGAAGCTAAACAAGATTGACAAAAATCAAACCAAACAAATTGTGGATAAGGCTAAGATACTTAATACAAAGTTTTCCAGCGGACAAGCCAAGTATCTTTGAGCAATATATAAATTAGTATAAAATTACTTTAATATAGATATATTGAATGCAACTTTTATCGTTGTGGCGGTGGCTTGGGTTTCGGTATTTTCGAGAGCAATATTTGAATCTCGTCTTTCTCCTTCCAGTCCTTCCACAGCTCGTAGAGATTGACAATCGCGCGCACTATCTCCTGCACTTTGTCCAAGTCGACGTTCAGCTCAGCGAACCATTGCTTGGTGGAATCCTTTTGCAAGATGACGCATGCGATTTGCAGGCAGGCAATGGCAATCTAAAATTCATTGCGGCTTGAGCTTTCTAATGCTTTATATGTATTCATTGTGTTTACCTGATAGGGCGGGTACAGCAGGCAAACATCAGTGCGCAGCGAGTCGTTCACTATGCGCCAGCTAAGAGTCAATAGCTGATCTTCTTGTCCCATATCCTGAACCAGTTGCAGCAAAGGCCGATACGGTTGAAATACAATTAGGCAACAGTCGAGATTCTCCAATAAATAAAATTCGCATTCGAGTATGTGATTCGTGCGATAGGGAAACTCCTGTGTATATGCATAGCTGAACTTGGTCTTAATGGCCGACTGACAAATAGAGATCAGACGCGAATTGGATATAACACCAAACTCCTCCACTTTCGAGGCCAGCAGGATGCAAGTGGGCGCCAGGAGCAGAGGATCAATATTTTTCAATGAGTTGCGAGCATAGAAACGTTTGAAATATACGGTTGCCGTGGCAATGACCTGTTGCCGAAGCTTTAGCTGCTCACCCAGCACTTGGATGACATTAGCAAAAAATATAAATATCTTTTGGTATTCATCCTCGCTGAGAGCCAGCAAATCATTTTGGCGTTCACGTAGCAAATCCTGCTTATCGAGTATCCATTGCTGTGAGTGCGAGCTCTGCCAGAAGTTGCCTGCCATTATAAGCTTGGCAGTTCGTTACGACTTCGTTTAGATCGGAAATTGCTTATCTAAAAACAAAAATTGTCAAAAAATTCAATAAACTAACAACAGTCTAAAAGCCGCAAATTTCGCGTCACTACAGTGTTACCAGAGTTGTCAACGTGTATCAGCTGCTTTTGAATTGAAACCCATGTATTAGATACTTTGGGAAGCAATATTGGAAATATATAAACTTTTTATGTTTAAATCAATTGGCTTTGCTTTTCGGTTATAAAATAAATTGAAAATCTTTCAAAACAAAAAAAGTTTGCCAAAAAATTTAACGTAAAAAATACACAAATCTTGCTTTACTACAGTGGGACCAGAGTAGTATCCATCGACCAGTGAGCAGCTGATTTGCACGCAACTAACTTCACGCCTTAACATAGTACATATGCGAGTGTGAAATTTTCAGCAGGCGCCGCGACAACGGGAACGCATAAGTTTAATTTATTTTAAGTGTATAAAATATTAAACGATTATAATAAACGATGGCGTTGCGTGTACTTGGAGTAACGCAAAATATGCGCTCATACATGCGCGGCGTTGACCTCATCAAGGTAACTAAAAAATACAATTATATATTGGTTTACGCTCCAGTATTTTAAATTACGTAATTGTGCATTTTGTAAGCTGCCCACTTCCAATTTGCAAGTGGAATGAGTGGCGAGCTCCTTTATTTAAAGGCTTAAGCTAAAAAGCATAAATATGTCCCTTCAATATGCTAGCTTAAAGCTACACAAAATAGTTACAAAATGTCTTTAGCAAATTTGAGGTTATGTATATTCAATTGCCCAACTGATTCGCAACTTAAAATTTTGTTTTGTTTTGTTTTTTTTTTCTTTGTTCCTATTTCTTAGCGTTACAAATCAGCACTGACCGTTAGGAAGACGCTGTTGAACATACCCGCCACCCAGGTGACCAGGCTGGATAATGGACTGCGCGTCGCTAGCGAAGACTCGGGCGCATCTACTGCCACGGTTGGACTCTGGATCGATGCTGGTTCGCGTTCCGAAAACGATAAGAACAATGGCGTTGCCCACTTCTTGGAGCACATGGCCTTCAAGGTAAGGTAGAACATAATAGTATATAAATATAATATTAATGCATCTTCCATTATTAGGGTACTGCCAAGCGTTCGCAAACTGACCTGGAGCTTGAGGTTGAGAACATGGGTGCTCATCTGAATGCGTACACATCACGCGAGCAGACTGTGTTCTATGCAAAGTGTCTGTCCAAGGATGTACCCAAGGCCGTTGAGATTTTAGCTGATATTATTCAGAACTCCAAGCTGGGTGAGTCGGAGATCGCACGTGAACGTTCGGTCATTCTGCGCGAGATGCAGGAGGTGGAGAGCAATTTGCAGGAGGTGGTCTTTGATCACTTGCACGCTACTGCCTATCAGGGCACTCCCTTGGGTCAGACCATTCTTGGCCCGACCAAGAACATTCAGTAAGTCGAATATATTTGAGATAATTTAAGATTTAGCTAATTTCTGTTATTTACAGGTCAATTGGTAAATCCGACTTAACCGACTACATTCAGACCCACTATAAGGCGTCGCGCATTGTTTTGGCTGGCGCCGGTGGTGTTAAGCATGACGAACTTGTCAAGTTGGCCGGTCAGTCTCTTGGCCGCTTGGAGTCTAGCGTACTGCCAGCTGAAGTAACTCCCTGTCGCTTCACTGGCTCCGAAGTGCGTGTGCGTGACGATTCACTGCCTTTGGCTCATGTAGCTGTTGCTGTTGAGGGTTGTGGCTGGACCGACCAGGACAACATCCCATTAATGGTGGCCAACACTTTGGTAGGTGCCTGGGATCGCTCTCAGGGCGGTGGCGCCAATAATGCATCCAACTTGGCACGTGCCAGTGCTGAGGACAGTTAGTATCCAAAATATAATGATCTCTGTCCTATGTAAATGCTCTTGCTTCGTATTCCATATGCAGATTTGTGCCACAGCTTCCAATCGTTCAACACCTGCTACAAGGATACCGGCCTATGGGGTATCTACTTCGTTTGCGATCCATTGCAGTGCGAGGTATATATAAATCTCTTCTAGCAGATTGTTTCTATAAAACCAGCTTTCTTTTAGGATATGATTTTCAATGTGCAAACTGAATGGATGCGTCTTTGCACCATGGTTACAGAGGCTGAAGTTGAACGCGCCAAGAACTTGCTGAAGACAAACATGCTTCTGCAGTTGGATGGCACTACGCCTATTTGCGAGGATATCGGTCGCCAGATTCTGTGCTATAATCGCCGCATCCCATTGCATGAACTGGAACAGCGCATCGATGCTGTCAGCGTCCAGAATGTCCGCGATGTCGGCATGAAGTACATCTATGACAGATGCCCCGCCGTATCCGCCGTTGGACCCGTTGAGAATTTGCCCGATTACAACAGAATTCGCTCTTCGATGTACTGGTTGAGGGTCTAAATAGCTTCAATGCTCTGGTTTAAAATATATCGTTGCTAGCAGTGTAGTCCAATTCAAGAAAAATTTGATCCAAGAGAATCAGTAAAAACCAAACTAATATAAAACCACAACATAACTTTAAATGAACTGCTGTAAATATTTGTTCGTTGTATTTTATTGGTATTGAGAGGTGATACATCGATTATTATCTAATCATGCGAGTAGTTGATAGGTATTCCGCTAAGACCTTTCTGCAGTTTGGCTGGCTCAGTTTGACCCAGCGCCGGGTCCAAGCCTTGCCAAGTGCGATCCTCGAACGTCAAGCCAGTGTCGGTTGTCATCAGTGCCATCTTGGCCTGCGTAGCCACTGTCGTGCTTGAATCGACTGCTTCATTGCCAGCAGTGCCTCCTCTCATGCGTCCGCTGACCAGACTCACATCCTGCGGCTGCACGGCCTGTGCATCAAAGGCTAAAAAGCTTCGTCCCTCCGGTAGTAACTGCTTGAAATCTGTGACATACGCCTCCGGATACTTCATATGCCAGGCTGGATTCAGCGCCATTTCAGCCTCGAACACTGACACAATGGGCTTATAGTACTCCTTGGAATTATACATATTGTTAAAGGGACAACCGATTAGCACAAAGCAGTCTATCTCCAGAAAGTTAGCCAGCTTAGCCGGATTGATGCGGCCAACGGAAATAAGTTGCGTCTTAATGCCACGACTCTTGGCCATTTCCTGCAAACGTGAAACTACATCTAAGTAGCCAACAGCGCTCAATGTGGCGACAATCAGCCCCAGTGTCTGTGCATCTTTGCACTTCTCTATGTAGTAATAACGCCGACGTATATATTGTGCAGTCAGTGGATTTTTGGCACTCAACGTGGCACTGGCACCGTCGAAAATATGCCACTGGAACGCTGTGGTGGTCAGTGACAGATTAGCAAAGCGCTGATTATCTGCACCAATAAAAATGCAAATACGCTCCGTCGGCGATGCAGTCTCTGACTCAGCTGGTTGCTTGTTCTCAATGCAATCTTCAGCGGGTGGTGGATACACCTCTATAAGCAGCTTTTTAGGGCGTAGCACATCGCGCAGCTGGCTAAAGAGCGTATCCTCGCCCTCAGCTAGTTGATGCTCATAGAGATGCTGGTAGCCAATATCAAGATAAACGCATACATCTCGTTCAGTGCATTCTGGTTGCAGCGTGGCCAGCTGCTGTAGCATTGTGGACAGCTCCAGAGGCAGCACTGGATACAAATAGAGTACCGGTAAGCGACTGGCCTTGCTGCGGCACGCATTACCAAAGTGAATAATGCTATCCGCCTCCACATGAGCAGCAGCAATTTCATCGACGCAACAGCTGCCATACGTGGTGTCTGCTAAAATGAAAATCTTGCAGTCCTCTACTGTTAGCGCTAACTGCAGGCAAGTGCTGATCGCATTGCTGTGAGGCAAATAATCGTCTGGGAATTGAAGACAGATCTGAGAAATATGTTAAAATCACGCAACAACTTTTTCCTGTTGCATTTACGCACCCGCTTGTAACCATTTTGTCGTATCCAGCCGATGCTAACTTTTTTGTGCGTTTCATTCCAGATTTGTTCAAATGTTACCGGCGATTCCACAGCCAATTCTGTCTGACGCTCCAGCGCTGCCGTATCCTGGCTGGAAAAGGCAGATGCTGTCATTGTTCGATTTAATAAATGTGCAGAAACCGTAAAATAAACAATTAAAGTGAAAGGCCGATAAGCAGTTCGATTTGTTTATACTTATCGAATTTTTGTGGTATTTTCTTTACAGATATGTAATTGTCTCACTCTAGCAAAAAGAATTTGCTATATGATATCAAAATCCAACTTATCGATATGCTATTGCTTTTCCCATCGCTAAACTTAACTGCTCACCAAGTAGCAAGGCAAGCGAAATTTGTCGAAGCTAACCCCAGACATATATTTTTGAGGCATTCAGACGCGCCAACGTTTGCGAATACGCGCGCATAATTCAACGTCAAACAACGGTAAAGGAGCATCAACTGTATACGAAATACACATAGACTTCACAAATCTGAACAAAAATGGATGACTCACGCGAGGAAAGCCAATTTATTGTGGATGATGTGAGCAAAACAATTAAAGAGGCTATCGAATCAACTATCGGTGGCAACGCATACCAGCACGATAAAGTAAACAACTGGACCGGCCAGGTGGTCGAAAATTGCCTCACTGTGCTCACCAAAGAGCAGAAGCCCTACAAATACATTGTCACAGCCATGATCATGCAAAAGAACGGCGCCGGACTGCACACGGCCAGCTCCTGCTACTGGAATAACGACACCGACGGCAGCTGCACCGTCCGCTGGGAAAATAAGACCATGTACTGCATCGTCTCGGTCTTTGGGCTGGCCGTTTAGGCCGACGCACATCGATCATGATCCAAGACACACAAATCACTAACAACTAAGGGGGAGGGATTAACAAGATTGCCTTGCATTTGTTTTGCGTGTAAGTTGAGCAATATATATATAAATTATAAATGCTTTAATAAGTGCCACATTTTGCAGCTGAAACAGAATTCAAATCGATATACTCAACAAAAACAACAAAAAAAGAATTACTTCAGCGAACTATTTGTTCAAGCCACATAACAAGGAATCTAACCAATCTATCACGTTACAACAACGAGCAAAGTATTGTCAAATTCTTAGAATGAAACACATGCAGCAAAATTTCCAATTATTTAGCAAAATGAAATGTATTTGTATTATTTTTTCGAGTTCTGAATAACAAAAGTTGCACACAAAGTGTTTGAATGTTACGTACGGTTTTTCATTTAAAAAGTAAATTAAATAAAATGTAAAAATAAATGTTCTCTTATGTTTTTTAGTTTCACCCCATTCGGCCTTGAATAACGACCGAAATTTGTTTAATCGATGCAACTGCTGCAATCAATACAGGGTGTTCTTTCTGTAATTTAAAAACTGTTACTTTTTGCGCTGAAAGCGCCTCCCGACCGTCAGCGCTGGCACCGTGCTGGGCAGTCGCAGTGATAGCACGTCCGAACGCGCTTTGGGACGGGCATTGACCAAGTGTGCGTAGGTGATGATGCGTTCCTTGGATGTGCGTAGAATGCGCGATAGCATATTGACATCTACTTCATGATTCTCGCTGATGAGCAGCGCCAGCACAATGAAATGTGTGAGCGCCTTCTCTGTGCTGAAGGTGGTGCGTGTGCAGGACTTGGCCACGTTGGGATCTGCAAAACGATGGCGTATGTCATTTTCCACTTTCTCCGTAATCTCCGAGAATTCGACACGTTTCATTTGCCGCTTGCGCAGCGCAATGAGCGACTGCAGCGCGTCCATGTAGATAATCAATTTGATGTGCAGAATATCTTGCTTTGTGGTGATTTCCTTATTTTGGATGCGCTTGATGCAGTCACGCAGATAGTCCGACTCGATGCTGAAAAAAAGAGGATTAGGTAAGTCGAGAATGTTTATAGATCTAAATTGAAAACTTACGGTAGTGTCTCCAACTCTGCAGAGTATACACTTTGGGCCTCCTCGTCCAGGCGATCGAGCAATGCTTGTGGCACCACATCCTCCACATCGTAAATTTCATTTATTTTTGTTGCCGTCTTATCGCACTTGGGCACAATGGTCGCCAAATATTCTGCATTGTTTGTATCCACTTCGGGTAGGGTATTATCCTCGTCATTTTCGTCTTCCTGACGAGCAGAGTTCTGCACTGTTTCATCTAGATCCTGACGCATCACATTTACATTGACCATCATCTCCTCGCGATTGGCCACATAGCGGGATGCCTTGCGACCGCCAAACTCCTTGAGTAGCTTCTTTGTAGCATGTTCTTTGCTCAGCATTGGTCGGTTCTCTAGTTTATCCATTTTCTCGTAAATGTGGTTTGACAGCAGCGCCTGCTGCACAGGCAAAATGGTAGCTTTGTTTGTTGTTTTATCGCGCAAACAGATATACGTATCAAATTCTTCATTATTCTGCAAATCACCTACATAGGTATTGGCACCTGCCATGACCAAGGCGCGTTTGCGTGTGTTTCGTTTGTTTTTGCTCTCAATCAGTGAAAAATTTGAGCTGGTGCCGAGCGAGCCGTTCTGAAATTTTACTTCAAGCAGAAGTTTTTTTACAAGATCTTTCAGTTACAATGTACTACTTACGCAAAGTGGGGAAATATGTATCTTGATTGTGATTGTAAACATTTTCAATCAATGTTTTCTCATCCATTTTTATTCAATTAAATTAAAACTTAAAAACTTAAATACAGATTATATGTTAAATGTCAAATGTGCCGTTGCACGTGTAGGAATTACAAATAGCCGAACAGCTGGGGAAACAGTGCTGCCAGATGTTTGCTGTCACCAGAGTTGTCACAGACAATTTTGCCCGCTTCTTTTTAAATTTAAGACATGCAATGGAAATCTGCCATTATATTAAGCCTGTCAGAGGTTGCCAGATGTTTGTTATCATTAGAGCTGCCATACACAATGTTGCGCGCCAATTTTAAAATGTATATTCTATGGACTTCGAACAACATCTGCATTAATGTTAAAGCCTGAAAAGCTGTAATGTTTGCTTTTGACTATTTTTACCACTTGCTGCAATATGAATAATGTACATTATTATCTATGGAAATTATCAGTTCGATTCAATCTACTCACCAGCACTAGTTTAATTAAAAATACTGCAAATGTTAAAAAATTAATACTCATTAGCGCTGCTTCCGGTGGAAATTCTAAATTGGATTCATCCAACAGGCCGCGTCGTCGTCGTCTGTGCCGCTCCGTTGGCTGCCACAGCACCGAGAACTGTTGCTCTGTGGAAAGTAAAATTCACTTAATGCGACAACTTTTTATTATTTCAAGTACGCACCAATAACTTTCATGAAATTGTCTCGTAGCTGCTTCAGTAATTTAATTTTATTTTCTATGTTGAGTGCCGACTTCTTAATCCAGCCGATTTGCATTTTTTTCAAAAATTTTAGAAAACCCTGCATACTGGGCAAAAGCAGTTCCCCATCATCTGCGCCGTCCGACTGCTCGGTGGCTGTCTCCACAACGCCATCAACATCCTCGGCACTCTCCACCTGCGACGAATGGCGACGCGATGTGGTTTCCACTTTGGGTGTAACCACCAGATCCACATCCACTGGCGGCCTACTGGAACTGTTGTGTACCACCAGCTTGGTCCTGGCATGAATCACCTGGCTATTGTTTGGCACCACAATCTGTTCGCTGTGCTTCAGGCCGCCCACATCGCTAACTACCAAAGGATTGCTCTGACCGTTGCTCAAGCCGAAGCGTTCCCGCTGATACTCCAGCCAGACAGCGCTGGGCGTGGTGAAGCCTTCGCCATTGGCATTTCGCTCAACTGCCAGCTGCTTGCCACTGGAAGTTGCCAGCGGCTGCGACTGCGAGTGTGCAATCTCCACCCACTCGGTAATGCTGAAGCGGCTCAGTGCTAGCAGCAGCCAAAGTCTGGCCACAAAGTGTTGCATCTTGCTCGTCCAAAGAGTGTGCAGCGACTGCTGCAGCTAACTCTTGCAACTGGGCCAGAAATCTCGCAAAAGGGTGTCAGCCGTTGCATGCCACTGAAGCAGATTTCAAGTTGGAGTGTTATGGACGGGAGTGCACGACTAGAAAGTACCCGATGCAAAGATTATTGTTGACTTTGTGCAAATTTATCAAAGTCATGAATGCTTTAAGTGTGAATAGGGAATGATTATACAAATTATATGAAATGTATAAAAATATCAATATTATTTTTAGGGCATATATTCATATATTAAAGAGATGAGAGGTAAGAGTAAGAGCTTATGGTGCTTAAGGTATAGAAGACAGCTAAACGAATGGAGGTGCAAAAGAGCTTAGAGGCAAGGGAATAGAAGGGACAGATAAGTATAGACGATGGGCTATAGCTGTCAAGTCTCTTTCTAGCTGTTACATATATAGAAATAAGACTTGTTATCAAGTCTCTTTCTAGCTCTTATACACATAAAACCAATATACCCTCTTTACCCAGCTTCCATATAGGGCACTCAAACACACATTCATTTTCAAGCAGTACTTGTCTGATTTTTATTATTATTTATCTTTATCGGTTTCTTTTTTTTTAGTAATTATATTTTAATTGGTTCTAAAATACGAGCACAGCTGAGCGTTTGCATACATTTTTTTTGGATTGGTCTATGTGGTCATGTGAATATAGACGAAAAAGAGGCTAAACAATTTCCGAACTTAATTTGAAGATGAAAGTGGGAAATAAAAATTTTATTTATTTATATTATTATTAAAGTGTTTTCTATCTTTTTTGATAAAGAAAAATTTTATTTCTTTAAATTCCTATTAAATTGTTTTCTATTTTTTTTTTATAAATAAAAATTTTATTTATTTAAATTATTTAATTTATTTAATTATTTATTTAAATATTAAATTGTTTTCTTTTTTTTTTTTTTTTTTTTGATAAACCAAAATTTTTATTATTTAAATAAATATTAAATTTTTTTCTATTTTTATTTTTTGTTAAGTTCAGAAATTGTTCAGCTTCTGCTCGTCTATAGTATGCGTTCTTTTAAGTACCGTAATCCATCAGTTATATATGTATATGTATGTATAAGTATACTAGTTTTGATTCTTAGGAAAAATTTAGCACAGAGATTTCAGTTACAAACGGCATCTGGAAAAGCGTGAGAAATTTAATTTGTTAATGAATTTTTGTGTTTTTTTTTTGTTTTTTTTTGTGTTTTCTGTGTCTTTTTTCTTGCTCTTTTTAAGATCAAGCGTAAGAAAAGTTGTGCGAAATTCATAGAGAGACAATATATCTAAAAATTTTGATAAACGCCAAGATTGAAAATTTCTTGTTTTTTTGTCATTTTCTTTTTTTCTTTGAACAAGGTGCTAATTAAAATATTTTCACGTTAATTTACAGTCTGGCAAATATTTGTGTGTAGTATATAAAAACAATGAATGGTATTTAGAAAAAGCTAGTGGGAAGCGAAGGCTATTTGATGTGCTTGCACAGATGAAAGCGCATCCACTTGAGCGCCTTGTCGCCAATGGCCTCCACTTTGGGCGAGCTGGACAGCCGATGGCAGCCGGCACAGTTCGAGGGCACGCTCTGGCTGCCCAACAGCTCGGCATGTGCTGTCGCCGCTGTCGCTGCTGTTGCTGCTGCCGCTGCTGCTGCTGTTGTGGCAGGTCAAATGTCGCCAGCGCTGTCCCAGCGCATGTCGTCGGCCTCGTGGGTGAGATAGCGACCCAGGCCCACCTGCGTTTCCAGGTTGCGCAAGTCTCTGTACGTCTGCTTGTCCTGCAGCCAATAGTGCATCAGACTCTTGTCGCAGGTGTAGCGCTTGCGCTGCTTCACTTGCAGCAGATTGTTGATGAGGTCAATGGCTAAGAGAAGTTCCGATTGTGTTACTATCTATAGGTACTGAGGCTGAGGCTGAGCCTGAGGCTTACCATTCGAGGAGATCTCCTTCCAGGGATTGGGTGGATACATGAAAGCCGCGTTCTGTATCTGATCGTTGATGTCCTCCTCCTCGTTGAAGGGAAAGGTGCCGCTGAGGCTCACATAGATGATCACGCCCACGCTCCACATGTCCAGGGAGCGATTGTAGCCCTTGTTGCGCAGCACCTCCGGCGCCAGGTAGGCGGGCGTGCCCACAACCGAGCGCCGGAACGATTTCTCGCCAATGATGCGCGCATAGCCAAAATCACAGAGTTTCACCTGCGGAAATTCAGCATCCGACGAGAGCAGCACATTCTCCGGCTTCAGATCGCAGTGGACAATGTTCTGCGAGTGCAGATACTTGAGGGCAATCAGGATTTGTGTGATCAAAAACTTGGTCACGCGCTCGCTGAGGCGGCCCCGTGCATGGGAGAGTATCATCTCGAGCATGTCGCCCTTGAGCTTCTCCATGACCACAAAGATGCGCTCCGGCGTCTCGAACATGCGCTCCAGATTGACAACGCCGCAGTGGGTTATGTTCTGCAGTATGGCCACCTCGTTCTTCAGCTGTGCCTCCTGCTTGGTGGGGAAGCGCAGCTTGTCGATCACCTTGATGGCCACCTCGCGCTTGGTCTTCTTGTGCACGCCGCCGTAGACGACGCCGAACTGTCCGGAGCCGAGCACTTCGTCCGGAAAGATTTGATACAGCTGACCCATATCCTGTACCTGCTCCTCCGATTCACAGCATTCTGCGCGTATGGAACGAATGGATTAGCAAAGATTTGGTTAGACCTCAAGCTGGGAATCTTACGTGTGTTTGTCACATGCATGTAGGCCTGCCGTATGCTCGTCTCCCAGCTCTTGGCAATGTCGGTGCCGATGCCACTGTCCGGCGGTGGCAGACGCACCGCCTGCTGCTCACCCACGCCCAGCTGCGGGTCCTGGCCCACATAGTAGCTGAGATTGGCCGTGCACAGCTCGAAGCAGTAGTTGGCATTGGGCTTCGTCTCAATGGAGAGCAGCTCGGCCAGCGGCAGCTCCTTGTGGTACTTGCTGCCCTGCTCCGATATGAAGAGCGTTATGCTCTTCGAATCCATGCGCCAATAGTAGCGCTTGAGCGCCTTGTCCAGCGAGGTGTAGTGCACCAGCCAGCCCTCCTTGATGGCCTGGCCGCCCCGCTTCTTTGTGTGCTTCACGGACTGCACGATTCGCATCAGGGGTATATTGGCACTGGGCGAGGAGGACGACGAGGATTGCGACTGCTCCGATTGGCCGTCAGTCGACTTGGCGTCGGGCCCAGTGCTGCCGCTGTTGTCCGTCATGGCGCCATTGACTAGCTCCGGTGGTGAGTTCTGTGCGTTGGTGAGCGCCTTGGGCGCCTCCCTTGGTCGTCCGGCCACCAGATTCGTGCCGCCCATGGCCTTGCTGTTGTATATGGCAAGTTCGGCTTGGGGTCCATCCTCGAAATCGCTGTCGTCGAATTCCTCGCGAAAGAAATTGTCGCGCTCCTTGCGCGGCGTCCCGTCGCCAATCTCCGCCTGCAATTGGCTCAGCTGCGCCTCGCCCGTACAATCCTGCGGCACCTTATCCATGCACTTCTTGTGAGTATTGTACTGGCAGTCGCGGCACTGCAAGCCCTGCTTGAACAGGCCCTTCAGCAGCTTCTTGCAGTGCTGGCAGACCGTGGGTATTCCATAGGTGTGCACCATAAAGGTGTGCGGTATGCGCAGCACCATCTGCCCATTCCGACTGCTCGCCGAGTGGGTGCGCTGATGACGGCCCATATATCCGGGTATGTTCTAAGGGGCAAATACAAAAGCGTTAGAAAATCCATTTGACGAGGGCGTGCTCGACTAAGAGATACCCTGCTTGGCTTAGCGATTCCCTTACAACTTGACGTTGCTACGCATTTCTATCTATTTTGAGGAATATTCAATTTTAAATGAGAATAGACTTCTTAAACATATAAAAACTAAATGTATATATATATATCTGAATATATATATATATATATATGAGCAGTGGGAGGATCTGAGTTGGCTAATTTTATCTGTTATTTCACTCTAATCGACTTACAACTCTACACACTGTTTCTTCAACTCTCACTGTTTTATATCTCTCCATTCTACACAACTCTCCAACTTACTCTATTCTAAGTTAAATAAACTAGTTTATTGTCCTTCTAGTTATTTTTAATACGAATATACGAATATATATCTAATGCGTATTCAACTCTCCACTCTACACAACTCTCCAAATTGCAGTATGCCCACTTTAGATGGCACTAGAAGCTTATTACACCTGAAGTGTAGTCTAATATAACTATTCAGAGTAGAGTGTAGAGTGGAGACTTAAAATCTTCACTCTACACAATTCTCCCACTTACTCTATTTCTGGTTAAGTGAACATGCAATGCCAATTATTTAGGCCGTAAATATTAATGAACTGCCTATTCCATGTTCGACTCTCCACTATTCACAACTCTCCAAATTACAGCATATCCACTAAAATAAGCCTTTTAATTTGCACTTTAGTATAGTCTAATATAACTATTTAGAATGGAGTGGAGAGTGGAGAGTTTAAGTCTCCACTCTACAAAACTCTCCAAATTACAGTATACCTTAAGCCTTATAATTTCTATAGAAGTTTTTTCTCTTTAAGTATAGTCTAATATCTACTCAGTTTTAAACTCTCCACTCTACACATTGCCCCAGCTTTTTCTATCTGCACTAAAGTATGCCGTTTCATTATAAGCTCAACCCCTCATAATACTATTAAACTCTACACTTTAAACAACTCTCCAATTTACTATCCTTAAAATTCCACTCTAATATTTCCACTACGAGTATTTAACTGAATTTCAAATGAAAGCCAACTAAAGCAGTTTTATCAAAATTAAATAAAGTTTATTCAAAAAAATAATATAAAAATTAAAAAGCAAAAAATGTAAGTAAATAATGTTTTAAATACTCGTAGGGAGCCCCGTTACCGCTTAACCCCAAAAACTTAAACCGCACTTAAGCCCATTTGCTACTGCGCTGCCCATATTTAATTCTTAATTATGTCATTCATAAGCTCCGACATGCGTTTTACCAATGAGCTGCTGGAATCGTGGCGACCCGTCGACTCCTCGTTGGAGACCAGCGACTGCTGTGAGCTGCCAGATGGGCTGCGGGGCGGCTGCAATGTAAACGAACGTCTCGAGGTGGCATCACTGGAGCGGTTACAATTGTTCGGGATTTTCACCACACAGCGCTTGTGA